AGCCCGTGCACGGGAAGTACGACCCGCAATTTGGACGCGTGTGGGCACCGCATGCCAGGAAGAATGAGCCTTTCACCACCCAATTGTAGCTCCCATTTTCTTGTCGGATGGCACGGTGGCCTTTGTGCGTGGATTCAAAGGGAGGGCTAGAGCTCCGGCTAAGTCCACGCCGACAGCTGGTGCTACGGACCACGACGTTTTGCTTATCGAGTTTTAGTAACATCCCCCTCGTTGTTCATTTCCTTTTCACCAGATACGGTCAAGTGTCCAGCAGGATCCGCGTGCCTTTATCATGTATGGAAGTTAAGCAAACAATGCCATGAGAATAAATTCGGTACTGACCCCAGACAAGAAAAACCAGCAGAAGTAAGTGGTCTGCCCATCATCTCCCGCTCCCACCCTGCCCACCCCACCCCCCAAAAGGGGGTTTGGCGGTCATCTGCAACACACCTGCACCATCTCCAGTCAACAAGTTCAGAACAATTCACAGTTTGTCCCGGTAGCTCTTCTACACTCAGCATTTCCAGACTGGCCACTGCGCTGACTGCAATGGCATCGGCGTTGTCTGAAAGGTGAGCAAATCTCTTGAAGGAAGACGTCCCAAGCCAGGTGGAGGTGGGTGTCCAACGGTGGCCTCTGGAGACCGTCCCCGCATCAGCCCGGGGAGGCAGAAGGGGGGCTGTGCCCCCAGCCGCTCCGGGAGCGACGGCTGTCACAAAACTTCCAGCTTTTGCCGGCTCTCCTTTTAGGATATTTTTAAAGGGTGACAAAACCAGAAGCTGACTTTTGTTCTTCAGGAAGAGAAACGCTTGTACAAAACTGGACAAATTGCAGGAAACACGGCTTCAGTGTTCTTTTCTCCGCAGGCAGGATCACTTTGTCAACCTCAGCCGCTGTGCTTTCCCCAAGCCAGACACCTTTTCGATCTCTTAATTCGACGTACGCAGACTTCAAAGGCACACTTGGGTGGTGCGTAACCTGTGCTGTAGATGCAGGGTGGGAAATCAGGTACTTAAAGCAGCTGACCCCTACTCTGAAGGCTAATGTGCACGGGCTAGAGCGGCGAGCAGAGAAAAGAGTCAGGGAAGGGCATCTGGTCTCGGGACTCTTCCGTTTTCCTGTAACTGAGAGAATGAAAAGGAATACTGAAAGTTGGCCATGAGGAGAAGTTCTGCTGCCCGGGACTTTCTGTGGTGTATGTAGCAAGCACGCGGCCGGTGCCCGGCAGGCAGCTGTGGTGTGGTGGTGCACAAGAGCTGCCTAAGCCCCACTGCCTGCGGGCATCCTGGAGCGAGGCCAGCGAAGGGCCATGCCGGTGGTGAAAGGGTCGCAGCGTCTGTTCTGCAAGAGGAGGCTGAGGGAGCTGGGGCTGCTCCACCTGGAGAAGAGGATGCTTGCGGACTCTTGCCCACATGCATCAATGCCTGATGGAGGAATGAAGACGATGGAGCCAGGCTCTTCCCGGTGGTGCCTGGGGCCAGAGGCAGCAGGCACAAACTCAAACGCAGGAGGCTCCACCTAAATGCTGGGAAAACACGCGTTCGTCCTGGTTGTGGAGGCTCCATCCTTGGAGACGTTCTTGCCCTGATGGGACACGGCCCCGAACAACCAGCTCGAGGTGACCCTGCCCTGAGCAGGGGCCTGGGCTGGCGGATGTCCAGAGCTCTCCATCGTCCTGTGCAACTCACACACATGGGGAACACTTGCGACTCCCAGGCAATAAACCAATGACTTCACAGGAGAGCGGAGCCACGCTGAGCGGTTCGACACAGCTGAACTAGGTGCTGACTGAGTCTGCCCAGCCATGCTGCGACACTGGCGTATGGTCGTTTCCCAGCCGGCAACGAAGCCGCTTTCTGTTGGTGAGTGGGTGGTGCGAGACGGGCTCTGCCCGGAGGAGTGATGCTGCGGCGCTGGAGGCGGCCGTGGTCCCACCGAGCTTCTCGCTGGCGGGTGCAATGTCACTGCCACAGCTCGACACGCAAAGTCGGAGCACGACTTAGCCCTGTGGGGCTGGCTGCCCCTCTGTGCCTTGTCCGCCCTCAAAGCTGCGAAGGATTGCGGTCTCCAGAGTTCTCCCAGCTGCCGAGCCTATGAAGCGGTTCTTAATCGTGTCATCCAAGATGTGTGTTGAATCCCTTTATTCTATTAGTGTGGAATTCCATTCCCTAAGCACGTTTTCAACACAGGTCTGCTAAAGTGACTTTTTTTCCAAATCCGGAGCTGGTTCTTTGAACACTTTTGGCGCTTAGTACCTGTCTGGGGTCAAACGCGGACCTTTGGGAACTGAAGCACGGCTGCCAAGGCCCTTTGGGAAACTGTTGTCAGGGGCTCCCGGCCGTTGGGGAAGGCTGGAGGTAGAAACAGGCACAGACAAAACCGTTTTCGGTTTTCTGCGCTTCTGGGGCGGGAAGGCCCTGCGGCAAAAGGGTGGAAGTCACTGAAGTTCCCCGCGGGTTTCCTGACGTCTCTGCTGTCCCCCCCGGCTGGTTTTAGCATCCCGCAGCGGGTGAGGCGAGGGCAGGACAGGCAGAACCAAACCTGCGTAAGGGGGAGAGGCAATGGCAGGAGCCCAGCTCAGCCGCGGCGTCGGTTCGGGAGCGGCTCCCGCAAAGCTTGAAGCTCAGCGCGTGCGCTGAAATAACGCCTGGTAGCTCAGCGTCCTCCTGCTCGCGTCGCGGTGCTGCCTCGGGCGGTTTGGGTCTTCTGTAAACACAGGCAGAAAGTAAAAGCATTGCTGCCTTCGAAGAGATGGCCTGGCGAGGAGGTGACAGCCTGCTGGGGAGGCGTTTTTGGGGAGGACGGCACTGTGCAGCCCGTAAAGCTCTCGGACCGAGGCTGCTGCTGC